ACGTCGATGTCCTCCACCACACCATACCTCTCGAATATGCGCCGTAAGTCGGCGTCAGTTATGGTCACCTCCAGGTTCCCCACAAACAGAGTACGGGTGCTCTTGTCGTCCTCCTCGGGCGCGACGTGATGCAAATAGTTGGGAAACTTCTCCTTTTTGGACTCCCGGTGCTGCTGTTGCTGTTGTTGGTTCTGTTGCTGGTGGTGCTGACGGCTATTACCGCCGCCGCCTCCTCCTCCGCCACCACCACCAGCTCCTCCGCCCCCTCCAGAGTGGTGGTAGTCGTTGTTGCGGTGCATTGAATGCATGTCTCTGTAGTTTTCTCGATGCGACTGTCCATTGCATACCGTTCCACATACACCGAGAAGTAATTAAATTTGAAAAATACAGTTAAACTCAATGCGATTAACAGTTTAATAGATAATAAGCGGAAACAGTAGCCAATGATAGACACCCAATGAGATGTGAATGAAATGGGAACAGTAGTCACTATCTAAAGCACATACGGTATATGACACACACAAACACATCCCATACCTGCATATTATACTTCATATCATTCATGGAATTCCTGCCCATCTGTGGGGGCGGTGGACCTCTGCCTCTGGGCATTGGAGGGCTCGGGGGACCCCTTCCTCCTCCGCCACCACCACCACCGCCGCCTCTGCGACCTCCGCCTCCCATCTGGTAATCGGGTGGCGATATGGAGCGTCTTCTGGGCATTTGTATCGTGCGGTCATATATGGGATCAATGACTACAGTCTTGTCAAATAGGATGAGCCGACTCTTGGCGTGTCGGCCATCGCGGGCGTCGTCGTAGTTATCGAAGTATAGGTACGCCAGACGTGTGTTGTCGTCATAAACCAGTTTCACGTTTGGTTCACCGAATCGGTGAAACTCACGCGTCAGTGCATTGCGCACCTCATTGTCACTGTATTTGTTGCTGATGTTGGACACGCACAGGATCTTGTAGGGCATCGACACACCCCCACCGCCACCACCGGGGGGCCCGCCATCGCCACCACTGCGATGGTGTCCACCCCCGCCGCCTCCCGAGTGGTTCCGGTAGTCGTCGTACGCGTTATTGTCTCTCGAGTTCATCGACGGTCTCATGGATGGCGAGTCGCGTTGCGGTCGACCCCCACCTCCTCGACGCCCGTCCCCACCCATGATCGGCGACTTCATGCGCCTGTGATCGGGTCCGCCCCGACCCCCACCTCCTCCGCGGTGGTCGAGCGGCGAGTGACCGCCCGATCGATGGCCGGCCGGCGAGTCCTCATAGCGAGGCATAGCTTAAGACACGACACACACTGACACTCACGAGTGGTTTGTGATGATAATCGTGTGGACACACAGTAGTCGCCAGACCTATGGATCAATACAAACGTGTCGTTTGTAATGGGAATGGGATTTATGTGGACACAGACTCACGAGTAGAGATAATTCACAAATGTCTTGAGCTGTTGGGCACACAATAGACGTGTAGTTGTTGTGATGGGATGTATGTGTGGAGTCACTGCACGTACACAGAGTCACACACAATGGCCAACACGTGCTAATCACGTGACCGCACGATATTGACTGCGATTAGAGTGTATTGTGGAGTGAATTAGCGGTCAATCGGTGCCACACTTGCAGTCAATCAGTGTTTGGACGACATATTGAGTGAGCATTCAGTGTATGACTCGACTCACGCTCTCACAGATGGCGTGCATAGCGTGTACTTAATTGTGACATAAGTCGTGATTGATCTTGGTCTTTGTAATAATTAATTGTAATAATTATTACTAATGCAAACTAATTGAATTTAATTTTGATATTTATTTTACGCTAATTATATAAATATCTCAAAAATAATTACAATTTATTAATGTTTAAAATGCAATGTTTTCTCATTTAATGAGATAAAAGTTATGAATACATGAAAATGAGTAAAATTATCGCAAAAATAAAACTTATATTTAAAACATAATTATAAAATATATTATTTCTATCAAATGATAGGTAGTTGTAGTCACGGATTAGTCTCCAATTCTTATGCTTATAATTATAATACAGAATATTCTGTACATTCAATCGTATTCTTATGGCACATGACTAGAGGTTTGATTTCAGTGTCAAACAAACCTATGCTTAACTGAATTCATTGGAAATATGGCTATTATTTGCTAAACAATTGATGAGTTAATGTCTTCGTCCCCTCCTATTAAGACAATTGAAGCACAGGTTGAATGTGTCGGCAATACTGGTCTCCCTGTCCAACAGGTAGGCCCTACTCGTCGACTCGTCACTGCATTCGGCAATAAATTTCTATTTTAACATAAATCACAGAATATGAACACAGAATCCCATTAATAAAATACATTTAAAAAACTAGCGTTAGAGCACCTGTAGGTCGTTGAGTGGGAGTCCGTTTTCATAGAAATCTTTAATCGTCTCATACGAGTCCATAATGAGTGCAATGAATAGACTTAAGACGACGTAAATGAATAGACAGACAAATAGGTAGAGATAGAGTCGACTGAACCACCAGATGATGGTCTGACTGCGAGCGTCGGTCGTGTAGAACGTGGCGAACATGTCGTCCCCATTCATGAGTGAGAACAGACACTCGGAGGCCAGGCTTAGGGTCCGGAACTTCATGTGATACGGGCCTAACACTAACCAACCGCACAGACAAAAGCCACTGAAAAGTATGACAAAAAATAATTATCTAAACACATCTACCGTTCCCATACATACCCGTATAGAATGAGTGCGCACAGCATAAACCTCAACACGTTAGGTATGGCCCGCTTGAGGGTCAGTATCAGTATATTGTATTTGTGGAAAAAGCCTAAATACCGGAGTAGCCCGGCCCACACGCATAAGTTGCCCACACCTAACAGTATGCTAACGGTGTTGTAGCGGACGGTGTCATCCCATTCGGACTCCAATCGCATCTTAAGCGCAGTTCCCAACAGTATTAATGAGTCGTTAATCACTATTAAGACAATCCACAGATCAATAAACTCCAGGCGCTCTCCGAGCGATAGACGCTTCTGGAAGTGTTTGGCAAAGAAATAGTCTGTCTCTCGACGTAATACCTGTGCCA